CTCCTTCTCTTGCTCTCCTCCCGGCCTTCCCTCTCTCTTGCTCTCCTCCCCCTCCCTCTCTCTTGCTCTCCTTCCCCCTCCCTCTCGCTCTTGCTCTCCTCCCCCTCCCTCCCTCCCTCCCTCCCTCTCTCTCTCTCTCTCTCTCTCTCTCTCTCTCTCTCTCTCTCTCTCTCTCTCTCTCTCTCCTCTCTCTCTCTTCTCTCTCTCTTCTCTCTCGCTCCTCGCTCGCTCGCTCGCTTGCTCTCTCTTTTACTTGAAAATATATGTATGAAAAGATCCTGCAAGATACAGTAATTGGAATAACTAGAATATTTAGCCGGTTTATCTGATGGATTTCTGCAATATGTTAGGCTATTCAACAGGGATGATAAGAATGAATGCAATAGATTGCCAAGGATTGCAGCTTTAATCGTTGCAAAAAGAATGATAGATATGATGATTGCAAAAGATAAAATAGCTATGATTTGTATCATCAAAAGCCCATGTGTCATAATAACAAGAAAATTAGCAACAACGACAAAGTCAGCGATAAAAGCATCGACCATTGAGATCCGAACCTATATAAATGGTTTCGAACTCGTTCTATCGGCTTTAGTCTCCTACGTGGTGTTAGAGCTTATAAAGGTAACGGGACGAGGTTAATTACAAAAAAGAAAAAAAAATCAGCTACAGTATTTTATCCTTAATAGATATGAATACATTTATAGCAGAGGATGAATAGGGTAGATCTCGTGTGTGGGTGCCTTGATAGGTAACGTGTATATATTCTTTACTAATAATCTAATTTATTTTATTTTAGTATTTTTTACACTGTGGTAACGCAATAAACTTTTGCTTTCATTAGATATAATTGCCTTTCTCTTGGATTATTTCTAGGATATTGTACTTCTCGTCTTTTTTTTTTTTTTTTTTTTTTTTTCCTTGTAGGGGCGAGGAGGCCATAGCGATTAACGATACAGCCCGTTGGCCTTCTCGTTAGTGAGGGCGAACGACCTATAGTTGGGGCTTTCACTAACGAGCTTCTTTAACTAGTGTTCGCGGTCATGTTGCCAGCGCGGTGGTATTCTGTTATGGATTTCGGCCTTGGCTTTCCAATTATCTTTTTATATGTTTGCATCTGCTTATCTCTCTCTTCTTATCTCTTCTCTTTCTCTTTCTCTCTTCTCTTCTCTCTCTCTCTCTCTCTCTCTCTCTCTCTCTCTCTCTCTCTCTCCTCTCTCTCTCTCTCTCTCTTTCTCTCTCTCTCTCTCTCTCTCTATCCTCTCTATCTATCTATCTATCTCTATCTCTCTATGTATGTGTGTGTGTGTGTGAGAGAGAGAGAGAGAGAGAGAGAGAGAGAGAGAGAGACAGAGAGACAGAGAGACAGACAGACAGACAGACAGACAGACAGACAGACAGACAGACAGACAGACAGACAGACAGACAGACAGACAGACAGACAGACAGACAGACAGAAAAAGAAAGAAAGAAAGAGAGGGAGTGAGCGATGGAGTGCGTATATACAGGGAGAGGGATAGTACGGCGATCATGTTTACAGATACTCAAATGCCAACAGTAATGACACGGACGCTGACTATGAAAATGATAACGATAAACAAGTCCCTCGAGTTCTCTAAGTGAAATACATCAGCTGTTGCCCTCGACAGCCATGAATACCCTTAATTAAAATGATGATTTTATGAAACCACTTGAAGGCCAGACGCGGGGAAGGTATGGGGGGCAGGGAGGGGGGTCGTTGGAGTGTGAGGGTGGGGTAGGGGAGGGGGTCGTTGGAGTGTGAGGGTAGGGTAGGGAAGGGGGTCGTTGGAGTGTGAGGGTGGGGTAGGGAGGGGGTCGTTTGAGTGTGAGGGTGGGGTAGGGGAGGGGGGTCGTTGGAGTGTGAGGGTGGGGTAGGGAGGGGGTCGTTGGAGTGTGAGGGTGGGTAGGGGAGGGGGGTCGTTGGAGTGTGAGGTGGGTGAGGGGGTCGTTGGAGTGTTGGGGTGGGGAGGGAGGGGTCAGGGAGGGGGTCGTTGGAGGGAGGGTGAGGGGTCGGGTGTGAGGGTAGGGAGGGGGTCATTGGAGTGTGAGGGTTGGAGGTGTGAGGGTGGGGTTAGGGGAGGGGTCGTTGGAGTGTGAGGGTGGGGTAGGGGAGGGGGTCGTTGGAGTGTGGGTGGGTAGGGGAGGGGGTCGTTGGAGTGTGGAGGTGGGGTAGGGGAGGGGCGAGGGGGTCGTTGGTGTGAGGGTGGGGTAGGGGAGGGGGGTCGTTGAGTGTGTGGGTGGGGTAGGGGAGGGGGTCGTTGGAGTGTGAGGGTGGGTAGGGGAGGGGGTCGTTGGAGTGTGAGGGGTGGGGTAGGGGAGGGGGGTCGTTGGAGTGTGTGGGTGGGGTAGGGGAGGGGGTCGTTGGAGTGTGAGGGTGGGGTAGGGGAGGGGGTCGTTGGAGTGTGAGGGTGGGTAGGGGAGGGGGTCGTGGGGAGGGGGGTCGTTGAGGGGGTCGTTGGAGTGTGAGGGTGGGGTAGGGGAGGGGGGTCGTTGGAGTGTGGGGTGGGGGTAGGGGAGGGGGTCGTTGGAGTGTGAGGGTGGTGGGGTAGGGGAGGGGGTGAGAATTAATTAGTTGGCAAATGATTACCTGGGAAATATGATATTCAACACTGTGTTGAGGCTGAGGGATTTTTTGAACGATGGATGTGGAGGAATGAGGAAAGAGAGACAGACAGACAGACAGACAAAAAGGGAGAGAGAGGGAGAGAGAAGATAGGTAGGTAGATAGAGAGAGAGAAGGTAGGTAGGTAGATAGAGAGAGAGAAGGTAGGTAGGTAGAGAGAGAGAGAGAAG